AGACAGAAAAATCTCAAATGAACAATGTAATCTAAAAGATTACTTCTTACTTCTAAAAGAACTGGATGAATCACACCAAACAAAGCCCAGAATGAGTACAAGGAAGGAAATAATCAAGATCAGAGCAGAATTAAATAACATACAGACTAAAAAAACAATTCAAAGGATCAATGAATCAAGGAGCTGGTTTTTTGAAAAGATAGACAAAATTGACAAAGTTTTAACCAGACTGATCAAGAACAGAGTGAGGACCTAAATAAACAAAATCAGAAACAAAAGAGAAGTTACAACTGAAACCACAGAAATACAAAGGATTGTAAGAAATTACTATGAACAACTATATGCCAAAAATATAAAACAACCTGGGGAAAATAGACAAATTTCTGTAAGTAAATCTGCCAAAACTGAATCAAGAAGAAGCAGAAAGCCTGAACAGACTAATAACTAGTAAAATTGAAGCAGAAATAAAAAAAACTCCTGACACACAAAAGCCCTGGACCAGATGGTTTCACAGGCAAATTTCACTAAACATTTAAAGAAGAACTAACTCTTATGCTTCTCACACTATTCCAAAATATTCAAGAAGAGGGAAGACTCCCAAAGTTTTTTTTTTATGAGTCCAGCATCATCCTAATTCCAAAACCAGATAAAGACACAACAAAGAAGGAAAACTACAGGCCAATATGTCTGATGAACACAGGTGCTAAAATCCTCAACAAAATACTAGCAATCTGGATTCAGAAATACATTAAAAAGATCATACACTATGTTCAAGTGGGATTTATCCTGGGGATGCAAGGATGGTAAAACATTCACAAATCAATAAATGTAATATATCACATAAACAAAACAAAGGACAAAAATCACATGATCATATCAATAGATGCTGCAAAAGCATTTGATAAAATCCAGCACCAATTTATGATAAAACACATAGCAAAATGAGAGTAGAAGGAGCATATCTCAACATAATAAAAGCCATATATGAGAAATCTACAGCTAACAATACACTCAGTGGACAAAAACTAAAAGCTTTCCCCTTCAGATCAGGAACAAGATAAGGATTTCCTCTCTCACCACTGTTATTCAACATAGTACCGGAAGTCCTAGCCACAGCAATCAGACAAGAAAAGGAAATAAAAGGCATCCAAATTAGAAAGGAGGAAGTAAAATTATCATTATTAGTAGGTGACATGATAGTGTACATAGAAAACCCTATAGTCTCCACCAAAAACTACTCAACCTAATAAGTGAATTTGGTAAAACAGTGGCATACAAAGACAATACTCAGAAATTGATGCTATTTTTGTGTGCCAACAATGAAAAACTAGAAAGAATCTAGAGAAAAAAATCCCATTTACTATAGCAACAAAAAAAGTAAAATACCTAGGAATAAATTTAACCAAGGAGGTAAAAGACCTGTATTCAGAAAACTAGAACAATGAAGAAAGAAATTAAGGAAGATACAAATATCATATTTTTCAGACTATAAGATGCACTTTTTTTTTTTTACCACATATTTGGCTTCAAAATTTTTTCCACTATTTTTCTCCTCTAAAACATAGGTGTGTCTGGGGTCGATACCATAAGACACACCTAGGTTTTTATAGGAGGAAAATAGGAAAAAAAATTTCAAAGCAAAAAATGTGGTTAAAAAGTTCATCTTATAGTCTGAAAAATATGGTAAATGGAAACATGTACTGTGCTAATGCACTGGAAGAATTAACATAGTTAAAATGTGCATACTACCCAAAGCAATCTATAGATTCAGTGCAATTCATGTGAAAATACCAATGGCATATTTCACAAATCTAGAACAAGTATTTCAAAAATTTATGTGGACCCAAAAATGACCCCAAATAGCTTCAACAATGTTTACAAAGCAGAAAAATGTAGGAGGGATCACAATGTCTGATATCAAACTATAGTAAAACTATACTACACTGCAATCAAAACAGTCTGGCACTGGCCAAAGAATAGATACATAGATCAGTGGAACAGAATAGAGAACCCAGAAATAAAGTTAAGTCTCTATGGTCAATTAATATTCAACAAAGAGGGCATGAACATACAATGGAGTAAAGATAGCCTCTTCAATAAATGGTATTGGTACAACTGGACTGGTACATGCAAAATAAATGAAACTAGATCACCAACTTATATTGTGTAACAGAATAAACTCAAAATGGATAAAAGACTTATAAATATAAGTCATGACACCATAAAACTCCTAGAGGAAAACATAGGCAGGAAAATTTCAGGTATCTCACATAGCAATATTTTTGTCAATATGTAGCCTAGGCTAAGGAACATACATGAAAAAATAAACAAGTGGGACTATATGAAACCTAAAAGCTTCTACATGGCTAAAGAAACTATCATCAAATTGAAAAGGGAACTGACTCTGTGGGAGAACATATTTGCCAATGAAACATCAGACAAGAGTTTAATCTCCAAAATATGTAAAGAACTCATATGACTCAAGACCAGGAAGACGAACAACCCAAGTAAAAAATGGGCCCACAATCTGAACAGACAATTCTGCAAGGAGGATGTACAGATGGCCCATAGACACATGATAAGATGCTCAACATCATTAACCATCAGAGAGATGCAAATTAAAAACACATTGAGATATCACCTCATAACTGTCAGAAGAGCCATCATTAACAAAGAAACAAACAAGTGCTGGAGAGGATGTAGAGTAAAGGGAACCCTAGTGAATGCAGACTGGTGCAGCCACTCTTGAAAACAGTATGGAATTTCTTCAGAAAACTAAAAACAGAACTGCCTTTTGACCCAGCTATTGTGCTGTTGGGAATACACCCTAAGAATCTCAGATCACCAATTCAAAGGAACTTATGCACCCCTATGTTCATAGTGGTGCTATTTATAATAGCCAAGTGCTAGAAATAGCCTCAGTAGTCATCAGTAGAAGAGTGGGTCAAAAAACTGTGGTACATTTACACAATGGAATACTATGCAGCAGAATGAAAGAAGGAACTCCTACCTTTTGTGGCAGCATGGATGGAACTGGAGAATATTATGCCAAGTAAAATAAACCAGGTGGTGAAAGACAAATACTATATGATCTCACCTATAATAGGAATCTAATGAACAAAATAGAACCACAGACATGGAAACATGGAACAGACTGACAGCAGTCAGAGGGGAAGTGGGAAGGAGATAATGGTGGTAATAAGGGGAAGGGACTAGTCAAAGAGTATGCATGAATGACCCATGGACATGGACAACAGTGTGGTAATTGACTGTGGGAGTGAGGGGTGGAGGAAGGCAAAGGGGGGAAAATTGGAACAACTTAATAGAACAATGAAAAATGGTTTTAAAAAGATTATTATATTTATGACACTGGGTATGAAAGAATTTCTTGTAAAAGATTGACACATTTGATTATATTAAGTTAGGGAAGCTAACAATTCAAATGTTATTTTGGACAGTCAGTCCATTCTAGAAAGAAAGACAAAGAAATAAGGCATACCACCCTCCCCCCAGTAAGTGTGAAAGGGACAGAGAACAGGTACATGGATCATAGGTTTTCCCATTTCAGGGAATCCCTGGAGAATCATTCAGGTGAGATCATGTAGAAATAGTCCACTATGTGTCTAGATGGTGGCACTGGTATTGAAAGAATTAGGCAGCTATATAAATGGGCCTGAAGTGATGCTACTGGCTCCTCATGGCTAAAAGTCAGAACTTGCAGAACTTTCTAAGTGTCTGTGAAGGCCAGAGTCTTAGCAAGGGCTGGACAGTGGCAGAGACCTAGATGAGGAAAGTGGACAGAATCACATTTCTAACAGATGAGGTACCAGTTTACTGTGTTACATGAGCCAAAATAAACAATTACACTTCCGCTCAGGCTAGGTACTCCAGGAAAAAGATCCAGAGAATACCATATAGATTTGAGGTCCCATTTTCACCCAACCAAAAGAGATTCATAAATTCCCATCCCCACATATATCATGTTATCTTTTAAATGATCATCTTAAAGAATAAAAGGAGAAGAGAGATGTCTGAAAGACTGACTCATTCAGAAGAACATAAATAAATCACTGAGTTAGACTTACATTACATTTATTTTCTTCAGCCCAGTATATGTAGTTTGGAGGAAAATTAAAAATTAGTTATAGGAAATAAAAAAAGCTATATTTGTTTTTCTAAATGAGATTAGTAAATGTATTATTGCAAAGGATGTAGAAAAACCCATGTGCTATTAGAAAAATTGATTTTCTTTTGAAGGTTATCATAATAACAATTAAAATTAAGTTATGAATAACTTATAAGGTAGCATTTTATATCTAGGAATTTATTTATACTAGTATGCATATTGTGTGAGGAAATACCATATTTTTCAGGCCATAAAACACACCTTTTAGAGGAGAAATATAGGAAAAAAATTTTTGAAGCAAAAAGTATGGTAAAATATTGAATAACATAAATAACATAATATTTCACCAATTTAAATGTAAACAGAACTCAACAGCAGCATTAACAACCATTATTCCTCCCAAATTTTGGCGGGGGGAGTGTATCTTATAGTTCAAAAAATATGGTATATGTTTACTATTGTGGGTATAGCAAAAAATTGGAAACCACTTAAATGTACATTGATAGAGCACTAGCTCATTATAGTACCTCTTCACAATGGAATATTATACAACCTTGTGGAAAAATAGGAACATATCCATGTGGGAAAAGATCTAAGATATAGCATTAGGTAAATACAGCAAGTTGTACATTAGAAGGTTTAAAATTATTTATTTGAGATCATAACTGGGGGTTTATTGTGAAGAGATGAAAACAATTTTTCGCACTTCTGATATTTTACAGTTCACATAAGCACCTTTATAATAAAAAGATCTGGAGATAAATAATTTTTATTACATTTTTTACTTCCTCACCCACTGTTTCACTCATACTGCCTTATTTCCCATTTCTAGGAATCAAATAGCAAGGGCAAATTTTTCAAGGCAAACACTTACCTTTTATTTCCAACTTGAACAGAAGATTAATCCCCAGTGCCAGTGCAACATTTGAGCTGAGACAGGCAGTCACCTTGTTAGTGAGGGTTATCTGTCCATAGTTTTGAGCAATGGATTTAAATGGAAAGAAACTGGCAAAATATAGAAGGCTTCCAGCAGAAGCAGCCAAGTGGGCTGTAAATAAGAAATTGCAATCAGTTTTAAACAATATGCAAAATAATGAATTAAAAGGAAATTTTTAGATTACATTAAAGGAATAGAGTGTAAGCTGTACAAAGGAAGGGGACTTATTTTTGTTGGTTTTTGTATCACCAATGTCTATTATATAGCATGTGCTCAGTAAATATGTATTGAATAAATGAATTAATGTATATTGTGTGTTAATGTATAAGATGTTTACCACATGTAATAAATATTCAGAGTCATTTAGAACTTTCAGTCAAGTTGGTGGCATAGGTAAATGTCATATTTGCATCCTCCCACAACCACATCAATATTACAACTAAACAACAGAACAATTTCACTTATAATAGCATCAGGGTAATAAAATATTGAGGAATTATCCTAACCTTGCAGGTGAAAGATTTATACACTAAAAACACAAAATATTGCTGTAAGACCCTAAAGAAGCCAAATAAATAAAAAGACATCATATGTTCATGGATTGGAAGACAATACCGTTAATATGACAATGCCACCCAAAGTAATCTACAGATTCAATGCAACCCTTATCAATACCACAATAACTCCTTTTCTGAGAAAATGAAAAAACAATCCTAAAATTTCTATGAAATCTGAAGGGACCCCAAATAACCATAATAATCTTGAAAAATGAAGAAAACTGGAGGATTCACACCTCCTGATTTCAAAATTCACTACAAAGCTTTAACAACCAAACAGTGTGGCACAGAGTAATGGAATAGCATAAAGAATTCAGAAGTAAGCTTACATGTAGATGATCAAATAATTTTCAAAAAGGATGCCAACATCTTTAAATGGGGAAAAAATCAGTAATTTTAACAACTAGTACTGGGGAAAGTGGCTATATGTAAGCAAAAGAAACACTATATATAAAAATTAACTCAAAATGAATTAAATTCCTAAACATAAACTCTAAAACTATAAAACTTTGATGAGAAAACAGGATAAAATCTTCATGATATTGGCTCTGGCAGTGATTTCTTGGATCTGACACTAATGGCAAAAGTAACAAGGGCAAAAACAGACAAACTGTGCTTCCTCAAAATTAAAAACTTTTGTTCATAAAAGAACACTATCAAAAAGTCAAAAGGCAACCCACAGAATGGGAGGAAATATCTGCAATTCACATATCTCAAAAGGGATTAGTAATCAGAAAATATAAAGAATTCCTCAAACTCAACCACAAAAAAACCCTATCAACCCAATTTTAAATGGGCAAAGAACTTGAATGAGCATTTCTCCAAAGAAAATGTATGTAAACACATGAAGTAATGCTCAATATAACCAATCCATTTAAAATTATACCTCAACAGCTTTGCCAATGTGCACAAACTTTGCAGACAAGATCTTAACTGCATATGCCTTTCTCCACAGGCGCAGGTTATCTCTTCCAAGGAGAATAATTAGACACACTCAGTAAAACATGCTAATCCAGTGTCTCTTAGTCCTTTTTGCATTTCATGACAATATAGTCCCCATTTATAAATTTGAATTAATCTCACTAGTGCTGCTACTTACAAATAAGCCTGCCTTAAATGGTGCACCTTCTAACAAAAGGCTTTAAATCTGTCCAAATTAGACCAGTAAGCAATCATGTTAGTGCTATGAGACTTGATCACTATAGGAGGTTTTGACAACCTGTTCTCATGACTCTTGTTGTCTCTGGACTACCTTAATGGCCAAACATTGCCCAAGGCTTTTAATGCAAGAAACTTCCCATCTTGACTTTGTGCTATACATCTTCAAAAAAAAAACACCAAAAACAATTACTGGCCATATATCAGGCTCTACTGTAAACAGAGGCTTTCATAAACCCTGATATTTTGACTGTCTATAACCAGCTACCCATTATGCCTTGGGTCATGGAAGTAGCACCCCACGAGCTTGGCACATCTACTGAGGCCTCATTTATATAAAATGAGAACAAACCTGAGCCTTCTGGCATATTCCACTTGTAAAAGGAAGTGGTCTCCTCTGATCTCAGTCCTTTCTAGATCACCCTTCCTCCAGATTTCTTGAGTACTTGGGGATCCCCTTGGGTTTAAATAAGTGTACACAAATAGGAATTCACAGACTGCACAAATGGCATTGCCATCATCATAAATGGTGGAGATCAGTAGAGTTTCTGCTTTCTAGTCCTTAATCAAGATGTCTCTGATAAAGAGACCTCTAAGGTCAACAACCTTGACTAAACTTCAGGGAATCATCTCAGTACTGATGTTCTGGCCAACAAATAGCCTCATATTCACATTACAAACTGTTGGGTCATCTAACAGTTGTCCCCTCAGGGTGAAAAACCCTGGGAATCATTTTGCTTCCAGATATTAAAAATATAAATCAAAATCACATTTCTCTACAATACACTAAGACCACCATTATGAGGTCTTACCACCTTTAGTTACATTTATTACTAATAGTAACCAAGGCACACATTTCAATTCTCAAATATACAATGATGGACTTTTATAAATGTGTTCCACAGAACTTTTGACCCTGATAGGTCCCAGATAGCTGGTTTAATTGAGAGACATGGTAGTCTCTGCCAATCACTCCTTTTCAAGTATTAGGTATGCACATAGAGGACTAAATAAATCTCTATCTTTTCCCAGGTCATAATCTCTTTTAATCCAAGGCCCTTTGGCCAGATCATACCCGGCACTTTAAAAAACTTTACAATGGCACTTTCCTATATTTACTTTTTATGGATTAACTTATTGGGGTAACACTGATTAATAAAATTATATAGGTTTCAGTGTACAGTTTGACGATACACAATCTGTATGTATTGTGTGCCTACCACCCAAAGTCAAATCATCTTCTGTCACCAAACATTTGACCTCTTTTATCCTTTACTACTACTCCCCCATTCCCTTCTCTCTGATGTCTATGAGTTTTTGTTTTTTTCTCTTTATATATAGTATATATTTTATTAGTTTGTACTAATACATTCTCATATTGCAAAAGCAATTTAGTACAAGAATCTTTCTTTTGATATTTGAATCATCTGAAATAACATATAACTGTACATCAAAAAAAATCTCATTTGGATATCAAAAACAGACAAGCTAAACAATAAAAAATTGTCCTTTCTTACAAATGGACATTGAAGTGAACCCAGTTCACTTTTCTTTTTAAAAGCTTCCAAAGACAAAAACTGATGAAAGCTAATTAAAATGAATAAAAACTTTGTTTACTAAACTACTGGTCTCTGGCACCATTTTTAGTTTTTTGCTGTTTTGATGTAGGTTCTTCTTTGTCTGTTTTTTCTCTCACTCTTTTTACTGGTCCAGATGCACCATTTTCAACACATTTATCAACACTATTTAGTTTTTTGGCCATGAGACTGTACTTTTCTTTTAGCAGACCCAGTCTGGGAAGCTTTCTTTTCCTTTCTTTTTTGTTTAAATTTGTTTGTTTTCTTAAATTTTAATTTGCTGCCTTCAGTTTTATATCTCACATATGAGTAAAATCGATGGTTCTTGACTTTTTTGTCTGATTTATTTTGCTTATCATGACATTCTCAAGATCCATCCATGCCGTTGAAAATGTCAGTATTTCATCTTTTCTTATGATTGAGTAGTATTCCATTGTATATTTGTACCATATCTTCTTTATCCAATTCTCTATCTAAGGACACTTTGGTTGTTTCTATGTTTTAGCCACTATAAATAATGTGCAGTGAACATAGGGCTACATATATCTTTACAAATATGTTTTCAAAATTTTCAGGTAGATATCCAGAAAAGGGATCACTGGGTTATATGGTAGTTCTATTCTTAATTTTTTGAGGAACTTCCATGCTGTTTTCTGTAGTAGCTGTACATAGAGAATTACCAGTATGGAAATTCTCACCAGCAGTGAATGAAGGATCCTTTTTCTCTACAACCTCTCCAGCATTTGTTATTACTTGTATGTCTTGTTGATAATAACCATTCTTTAACAGGTGAGATGGTATTTCATCACAGTTTTTATTTGCATTTCCCTAATAGCTAGTGAAGTTGAGCATCTTTTCATATGTCTGTTGGCCATTTGTATGTCTACTTGGGACAAATGTCTATTCAAGTCCTCTACCCAATTTTTAACTGGGTTGCTTTTTTTTTTTGGTGTTGTGCAGTATGAGTTCTTTGTATATTTTTGATATTAACCCTTTGTTGGAGTTGTCTTTTGCAAATATCTTCTCCCATTCAGTTGGTTTTCATTTTGTTTTGTGGGCAATTTCTTTTGTTGTGCAGAAGCTTTTTAGTTTGATATAGATCCACACATTTTTGTTGCATTTATTTCCCTTGCCTTTAGGACCAAATTCAGATCATCTTCTATAGGACAAAGGCCCATAAGTTCAGTATCTATATTTCTTCTATGTAATTTATTGCTTCAGGTCTTATATTACAGTTTACATTCAATATTATTTTATAGTAGTTTCAAGCATACAAAACAGTGATTAGACAATCATATATTTTACAATGTGTCCCCCTCAATATTTCCAGTATGCTACTGGTACCATACATAGTACAATATTATTGACTATAATCCGTATGCTGTAATTTACCTTCATGTGACTATTTTGTAACTACCAATCTGTAGTTTTTTTTTTTCACCGATCTGTACTTCTTAATCTTCTTGCCTTACACCAGCCCTATATCCTCCATTCACTTTAGCACTATAAATCTGTTCTCTATGTGCACAAGCCTCTTTAAATTTTGTTTGTTGATTTATTTTGTTCTTTAAATTCCACATATTAGTGAAATCATATGGCATTTATTTTTTTGTTATTGTTGTTCTATTACAGTTGTCCCAATTTTCTCCCATTGCCCTCCTGTGCCCAGCCAACCCCTGCTTACACAGACAATTCCCACAATGTTGTCCATGTTGATGGGTCATTCATACATGTTCTTTGACTAGCCCCTTCTCCTTATTTTTGATTATCCCCCTCACCATCCCTGTTGGCCACTGTCAGTCTGTTCCATGCTTCCATG